GCAGGGGCTGGGGACTTAGCTCAGTGGTTTCGCAGCCTCCCACGCAAGTGCAAGGATCCAAGTTTGATTCCTGGTACCAAATAAACAAACAAACAAAACCCCAAAAATTCCGAGTGCCAGGCTGATGTGGGTTTCTGCGTATACCTGGATATGGAGGAGCACCACACACCTACAGAATTAGATAGAGAAGGGGTACGTGCTGCCAGCATGTGACACCTTCCACCATCCAGTGTGGGAGACACAAAGAAGAGACACTAAGAAGATGCAGCCACAGACCGCAAGCTGTAGGGTCTCATTTTCTTGAAGCCTGATGCCAGAGAGCTGGCACACCCTTTTGGGATCTTGTGCAGACATTAAAGGTGGCTGCAAATCTTGCATGGGTAGCGCTCTTGCCCAGCACACAAAGAGCACCAGCCTGAGAGTTGCCCCAGTCCTCAGGCACTCCAAACCATGCCACTGGCCCAGCACAGTGTACCTGACCCCTCATCTGCCACTGGTAGACAGTGACACCCCTGCCAACCACCCGGAAGAGGTCAAGGAACCCATAAGCAGCTAAACGACCCTGGGCAGCCCTCAAACGGAGTCACATTCGATATGACCACACACATGCAATGGTGGATCCAAATGAGAATATGCAGACATGGGTCATAGTCAGTTCAGCTCCTAATTCTCAGTAGAGTTCCCATACCCTCAGTAAATGTCAGACCCTGCGAAGGCAGGAGGCCTTCTGACAAGGTGAAGGCAGAGGAAGAATCCAGAGTGCTTAGAGGAGCAGGCACAAGGAGCAATCTGGCAAGTGAAGAGGGATGACCGTACTCAGGTGGCTTCATGCATTCCCCTAAGGAAGGCTCTAAACACTAAAAGCTCTCTATAGTAAAATATTTTCGCAAATAGCCAAGTGTTTTTCCCTCCAGGCACCTGCCAGTGTTTTGTGCTGTTAATCTCTTTTGGAAATGCAAGAACATGTTTTGATATAGATTACAAAAGCACCAGCCGCAGAGGTGTTTATACACTCAGAAGGCCGCACTGTCAGGGTGGGAACATAGATTCAAGGTCTCCAGATGTAAAGTGAGTCGTGCGAAGAGATGGTTTCCTTTCTCCCCGATGGACAAAAACTTGAATTTTTAGAAATTGTTTTCCCATCTTTCCTACAGCATCTATAATTGAGTGTGCTGGCTGTAATAACATATCAGTGACAGGCTACCCCAACAACATCTGTTACAACTAAATGCCGTTACCACAACACAGGCTTAAATGAGATTCTTTCTGCTTTACAGGTAGACCCAATGCAATCTGATGAAGCATCTGTTTGACACAGTTGGGATGCTCAAAGTATTTAAATATTATCTTCTCCTTACATGGGACTTTATGGTTTTCAGTACCGCCCCCCTCCCCGCCATGGACTGCAAACTAAAACTTGAGCTTCTCAGTACACATCAGGATCATTTTATTGCCCAAATTAACTTTCTAGGTTTTATTTCCTCTCTTGTCAGCAAGAAGCCCTGGCTTCAGTAACCAGAGCAACAGAGAACAAGTCAGCACAACATACCACTGGGGCACATGGAGAAAATACCAGAACTGGGCTGAACTGGGGGCGGTGCAGAGGTCTGTGAGCCAGCCCGGTCCACAGGGCCTCGGGCCGGAGGTGACGAACTGACATTTACTACGTGCTGACTATATGTAGCCCATCTGATTTGATGAGGGAGGCATGGTGTTATTTCTCTCTGAGGGATCAGGAAACTGAGGCACAGGAATGCCAAGCGACTTGCCTAAATTTACTCAGTAAGTGAACTGCAGGCTGAGGTCTGAACACCAGTGTGGCTGCTCAGTCTGAAACCCCACCCACCCTCCCACCCTGCCTATCCAGAACACAGTGCATAAAACCCAGGAGAAACACAGCAGGAAGCCCCATATCTGTGCCCCACAAACTGCAGAGGATGACGGCTGCTTTCTTCTTTGCCCTTTAAACAGACCTGCAGTGGAGAGCTCTATGTACGTGTGGAGGAGTCCTGGGTATATGGCCTGGGAGTGGACATCGACGGGGACAGAGAGTGTGGCCATGACTACCTTCCCTGGTACAGCCAGACTGCTCTCAAGGGGCTGCCTAGGCCACAGTCCTGGCCAGGGTGTCTGGGGGTCCCAGTCCCCCATACCCTCGTGCCTACTTGATGTCATCAGACCGTTCTGATTAATGTGGACTGGTATGTCATTGTTGCCTGAATGTAATTTTAGAATGCTTTCAAAATCAGAAAAACAAATGTTAAAGACACCCTGAAAAGTAAATGATAAGGTTTGCAAGTGAGCTGAGTCCCATCTGGACAGTGAGAGTTGTGCTGTGCTAAGAAGAGCGCCCACTGTGCCCTCTCTGGGGCTAGAGGGACACTCACGAAGGGAGGGGTGAGTAAAGCTGTAGTTGAGAGGAGGTGCACCACAAAGCTCAGGGTGAAGGTCCCCCCACCAGGCCTGGTGAGGTATGAAGAGGTGGAAGCAGGTGAGGCCTGTATCAGAGGATGAGGGCCCTGCTGTCGTAAATGGGAAATCCATTCACAGATTAATGGTTCATCTGGAGAGGGGCCTGTTAGAAAAGCCAGTATGGCTGGGTGTGGTGGTGCCTGCACCCCGGGAGGCTGAGGCTAGAGGACCACAGGTTCAAGTCCAGGCTGGGCAACTCAGTGACTTAGTGAGACCCTGTCTGAAACAAAACAAGGCCCATTTGGCCCTCTCTCTCACACATGCCCCTCACAATTTGATGCCCTGTGCTGCCTTGGAAATCTGCAGAGTCGCCCATGATAAGGCCCTCACTCCACTTTGCAGAGCCCAGGAGCCCAAGCAAGCCTTAATTCTTATAAATCCAGCTTTAATATTGTGTTTAATATTCCATAATTTCTCTTGAACCAGAAGAAGCTAGAAGCTCTTTGCAGCCGGTCTCACTGTCTAAATGGGACTCAGCTCATTTTTAAATCTTGTCATTTACTTTTTGGGATGTCTCTAACATTTGTTTTCCTGATTATAGAAGCACTGTGAACCTGAGCTACGTAAATCTTTATTTTTCATAAATTATTGAGTATGTGGTATTTAATTACAGCTGCAGAAAATGGGCCAAGAGGACATCTGCACACATCTTACAGGAGAAGCAGAGGTCCTGCAGAAGGGGTCTCTGTAGCCAGAACTGGTCCAGGCCAGAACCTCTCATCTTTGTGAGGAGGACCACAACACAGATCAGAACACAGGTTTCTCGGGTGGCAGCACAGCTGGATGCATGCCTGTCACAAGTCAGGATCGACCTTTCAAGCACTGTGGCTGGGATACATGCATGGTGTTGGCAGGAGTGGCTGGGAGGTCCTGAGGGCTGCTTCTTCTCAGAGAACAGTTCTGGGGACTCCCGTACTGTAACAGATCAAAAATCCACATTCTCCACCTCTGGAACTGTCTGCCGTTTTGTCATGGTGTGCTGGGGATGACTCCTGGCTACTCAGATACTCAACCCTGCTCATTCCGGAAGAGGCTGTGCCAGGTGCTGTGCAGAGGGTTGGCCTCCCTGCCCTGGCCACGCTCCCTGAAATGCTCCCTCTAAAAGGATTCCCATGGCTGCTCACTGTGATTTGGGCAGCAAGCACCTGTGAGTCCAAAGGTCTTCTGAGTCAGAAATCCCATACTTATAGCAAATTTTTCTACCTAGCAGCTCCAGGAATCCCACAGAGGAAGGTCACAGCGAAAACAGGCCACAGCCTTCCTGGGTGGGAGACACAGGAGCGCTCTGACTCAACTTAATGAAGCAACTGCTCCATAAATATCTGCCTTTCAGGCCACCTTCTCCTGGCTGCCAAAGTTGTCACCCAGAAGACAAACCTGATTGTGTCACTTTCCTGCCCAGAGTCCTCAGATGACTCCCTGCTGTGCTCGGCACAGGGCTTCAAACTTCTTTTTAAAGTAAAATAAAACACATTCTTCAAACTACATTCTAGACTCCAACATCACAAGCAGGTAAAAATGGTGACTTGTTTGTAAGGTCAGATTTATGATTTCAGCAGGAATCATCTAGAACACAAGTTAACTGAATGAGGGTCTTCTGTGTGTCAGGATGGGGTGAATGTCACAGCTGAATGCTGACCTAGATCTGGAGCAATATTCTGTACCTGGTGCTCTTACACCCTTAGGTGTCCACTTTAGCCTGGGCCGCACTCTCCAGGGCACAGCAGGGCCCTCACTGCAGGTCCTGGCCTGGCCCAGCCCAGTGCAGCCTGGGACTGTTCAGATGCCCCCTCCTTTCCTCCAGGCCTGCAGAAACCACTTCCCCTTAGGACCCAGCTCAAAAGCTGACTTCACCATGAGACTCTGCCACTGAGACCCTCATCCCATGAACAACTCGTGGGGCATTCAGTAAATGTCTTGTCACTCGTGTCATTGCCTGATGGGGCCATGGTCATTGCAAGGATGGAAAAGTCTTACCCATTCCCACTTCCCCATATGCGTACAATGTCTATCACACAGAGTTCTCCATTTGTCTTGGTGAAAGGGTAAATAAATAAAGGAATCGATGATATTTTAACATATAATGTGCTGCTTTTGGGGAGCTGGGAAAAATTAAAGCTTTTCATCAATGTTATCAGAGTTGTTTCTCTGAGTGAAAAGTTCAATGTGAACACAGTCTTGGGACTCTGAGGCTTACACTTGCCCCCAGCAGCTTCCCTGCAGGACCAGGTACAAGCCTCAGAGCAGAAGAAGGCTGTTCCCAGGAGTTTGGGAACAAGGCCCAGATCTGCATCATCTGTGGGAAAATAGCCTGCTCCTTCCTACACATGGTGGACAAAGGCCCATTACAAAGGGCGTTGCCATGAACTATGAACAAATGGAAGAAATTCTAGGTTAATAAAATGTAAATTTCATCCCACCCACAAAAAACTCTAGTGCAAAGATTTGTTTTTACCCCCATAACTACCTAATAAAAACAAGGAAGCATCCAAGTGTGATTTTCTCCTTTCCTCCCCTCTGCTCCTTACCCAGAATCACTCCATTGGGCTCCTCCGGGGGCTGCCATACGATCCGCACCGAGGTGAGCCGCACTTCGGGGAACACCAGCCTCACTGGGGGGCCTGGGGCTGTGGCGAAACACAGTGAGATGCAGTTCAAGAGTGGAACGTGTCCAAGTCTCCAATGAACAACTGACTTTTAGAACCTAATCCGCTCTGTGTGGCTCCCTACCAATTTTGGAAAATCACGTCATTTTGGATCCTGCCCATCTTCCAAGTCCTGAAAGCATTGCTCATGAACTATGCTAGGAACAGTGGGAGCACAGATAGCACCCTGTGAAGCTAACAGAGCGTCCATCAAGTTGGAAGTAAAGACCCCACTACTCTGAGCTCAGATTCTCTGCTGGGGATGAGCTCTGCAGAGCAGTGTCCGACAAGGTGGCCTCAAGTCCCTTCCACTCAGAATGGAAGTCACAGCTGCTGATGAAACAGCATGCTGGCATCAGTGCTTTTCCTCTTGTGCATGTCACCCCCCTCCTGCCTTGTCCTGAACACTGAAGAGTTGATACACACAAATGCAGAAAATAATTATTTTGGGTAGTTTGGCACACCAATAATTCACAAAGCAGCCTTGTATTGCACAGCCACTGAGTAATAGAGCCGTGGCCCTTCTGAAATATATTTGCTTAAGCGCATAGGCCAGGTGGTGTGTGGCAGAGTGAGACCTCACCTTGGACTCTAATTGTGTACTAGTTCCTTGGTGAGAGGCAGTGGGAACGGAGCAATGATACAGAAACAGTGGTGCGTGGAGCAGCCATTCAGGCGGCTGAATTCTGCCTCTGGGTATTATGCTGAAACAGTGTCATGAATGTGACACTGAATGTGTGTCATGAAATCTACGTTTGGGGAAAAAAAAATATCTGAAGGAGGCCCAGGGTTGGTACACATGGGAGGCACTGATCTGGGCCATGCTGAGGCTGGTCATCTGCATGACACAGAAGGGAGGGGGAGGGGCGGCATGGCTGTACTAAGTAGCAACGTGCCTTTGAGGAAGAGCAAGGATGGTGGAGCCAGTGTGGAGGACCAGTTTCTAAGATGGCCCGCACATGAGAATGTCATGCAGGTGGCAATGAAGTGATGTCTGCTTCCCCTCTCCATAAAACCCTGTTGATGCCCACTTCCTCTTTCCCCTGTTGGGTGCCTACCCTCCCTGCGGCCCTGAGCTGGGGAAGGAAACTCCCACACTTTCCAAGAACCAACAGAGAACAGTTCCTGCCCAGCGGGTGGAGGGTGTCTGGACTCATTGGTGACTTCAGAAAGATGCTTAAGGAAATCTAGAGTCATTTCCCTTCTGTCAGATGCCTTTGATCCCGAGGTAGGTGTTGTGGGGGAGATCAGTATTTTTCCCCTGACATCTTCATTACACTCTGTTTAATAATGAAAATGTAAAAGAGGTAACCTTTAAAGGTTTGACATCTGCAAAGTGGAAAAAGATATTTTCTGATGATTTAGACTTCCATAAAAACAAAGCTGCCATACGTGCTCTTAGCCTGGAATCCACAGGGGCCCAGGGACCTGGGGAGCTCTCAGGCACACTGCTCTGTACACAGGAACTGGCGATTATCTCCCATGATAAAACAGTGAGACCCACAAGTCCCAGGAGCACTGGGGCTGGTTTGTCCAGAGGGGACTTTTAGCCAAATTTGAGCAGACACCGTAAAATGAGCGGCTCAGCCCAGCCCACCTCTTCCCAGCACTGCCCACAGCAGAGTTATGATTGAAATTCGGCATAGCTTCATAATCAGGCTGTAAAAATCCACTCCAGGCTGAAATTGGCCATATAAATGCTCAGTGACTGAAAAACAATTTTGTTTTGTTTCCTTCAACTGAAAAAAAGAAGTGGTTGGAAAATTACTTTTAAAATGACCGCAATCCAAATTGTTTGGATTGGCAAAGCAAACCGGTGTGTGTGGGGTTGAGGCCAGTGTGGACACCGACGCTACACATACCATCATCTTTGGTGCGCTCAAGGATGAGGGGTGAGCTGGGGACCCCATTCCCAATGCGGGTGAACGCCAGCACCTGGAGCTCATACAGCACGAACTTGCGCAGGCCAGCCAGCAGCACAGACTGAGTGTGGTTCCCTCGAACGACGTGCGTTCTGGGCTCAGGATCCAGGTCTTTGGCCCGGTACAGGATCTGAAGCATGGACACACGAGCACAGATGGTTACGGCCCCACTGAGTATTAGAAATGGCCCCTGTGGGAGTGGCCACCTGGCTTTCCTTCCCAAGGGCAGCTTTGGCGAAGGCCTGAGAATCTAATTTGCGTGTGCTGCTGTGTGGGGAGGAAGATGATGATGAAGCGACCATACGCCAGAAGGGCGGCTTGAATTAACAGAGCCACAGCTTGGCGAGTTGGCTGCCTGGTCACCGTTTACAAGGTCTGAAACACTCAAATGTGGCTGCGCCAACCACATCCACTAACACAAGGACTCAGGCACATTCTGCTGCCGCAAAGCAGCCAGCAGCCAGTTGGTGTCCCAGTCCATGGAACTTCATTCCTGCCCCGGAAGGCTGTCGGTTCTCATGTGAGCCTCAAGGTCCATCCTCTCCGGGCCGCAGGCGCAGTAGCCAGGGTGTTCTCCTTCGGGCCCTCATCTCTCACTTAGGTCCTGCATCCTCCTTCCAAGCCCGCCCTCTCTGAGCTGCTTCCTATGACCTGTGATCTGGAAGGCCGGAGATACCGGGCTATCAGGGAGGAGTGTGAAGGTAGCCAACAAGCACTTTTCACCAAGACCCAGCAGTGTGGCATGGCATTTTTGTCCCTGAGCCTGCTCAGTAGGACTGCCAAGGACCACGACATTGCCCCATACCACGGCATGATCACGCATGTGGGGCGTCCATATATCACATTGTTACGTATTGTAGAACTGCCACATATTGTGGGATTGCCATTTGTCACAGGATTGTCATGTAGGACGGCCTGCTATGTATCATGGAGCCAGAAGCAGCAATTAGAATTGCCAGGAAAGAAGGAAGAGCAGGTTGGGGTAATCAAATAATCAATATCTGAACTGCAGAAAAGCAGAAAGGAGGCCTGCTCACAATCATGGAGCAGAGTACCAGAGAAGTAAGGCCTTCTTGGCCAAATCCACGGTGTGCCTTCTGCTGCCTGGTGGAGCTGAGTAGAGGGGTGGAGCACAGGGACAGCACCCATCACCACTGAGCGGTGCACAGGACGCAGCAGGGTCTTAAAGCATCCAGGATGTGCATGGAAGATGGAACCCTGAGAAGCTGGGACAGCTTACGGTAACATTGCCTTTGACTACCCTGGGCGTTGAGGACATGTGAACAATACACACACAAAAATGGCTACGAGCACTTAGCATGAGCAGGGAGCACTTCATAAATAACCCCTTGATTTTCAAACTGACTCTGGGTAGTGGCTGTTATTGTTATTCCATTTTACAAGTGAGGAGACAGAGGAGCAGAGTGAGAATCTGGCCGAGTGAGGGTAGATCCAGAGCCTGAGTTTGGCAGTGCGAGTCCACATTCAACTTCCAGCTCACCTTAGAATTTGGGGGTGTCTGAAAAGAAGTCCTACCAATGCCTTCTTCCCAGACTGTAACGGGCTTAGATAAGAGATGTAAAAAATCAGGTCCCCGGCCAGCGCTGCAGATCTGGGGAGGGACAGATGCAGCTGCATAACACGTACCTTATAGCCCAGGATGAGCCCATTCTGGTCCTGCTCAGGGACGGCTGCCCATGTCAGTAAAATCTGGGTAGAGCTGACGGCCTCTGCAGATACGTTTTCAGGGGCAGCTGAAGGAACTGCAAAGAATGAATTATACTGATTACCATCAAAAGTCTAAAATGCTTCTATAAGTAAATAAATAAAATTTTCACTCAAATAATCAAGTTGTCCTTGAAATAGTGATATATTCTGAGCATTTTGTAGGAATCAGATTCAACTTGCAGGAATATAACAGATATGTAAATCTCTTTAATATTAGCAACGAATTCCAAAAATCCTGGGTATTTAGAGCTCAATTTCACCTGAGTCCACCCAGCACGAAAATACGCTTAGTCTGTCTTCTGTGATAACTCATGGCCCTGGAGGTTTTTTATCTTAAATAGGAAACCTCACTCTCAGACAGATACAGCTCTGACTTCTCAGTGATGGGGACAGGAGGACTGGACAGAGGGATAAGTTATGATGTACTCAGAGAGAACAGGAGGGGAGGTCTGTCATATGCTGTCTCTGGACTGGGGGTCCTCAGAGTCCTGATCAAATTGAATCCTCCTGGTGATCCAGTGAGGCAGGTGTTGTTAACCCTGCCTACATATGGGAGGCCTGAGGCTGGAGGAGGCTCATCATTTTCTGTCTAAAGGAATATCTGACAGGGAGACAGGATGGCCTGCAGAGCCAGCCATGCAATTCCTGGCCTTTGTGCACATCAGATCATGTTTCAGCTTTTACACAATCTCTCCTCTGTTTATGTTGTCACTAATTGTTTTGAGATGTATGCCAGGATGCAGATCTAAAGTGTATAAAGGCGACAGGGAAGCCTTAGAAACAAGCACTTTATACTCTAGATAATCTCAATTGCTTTGCTAATTTTCTTATAGATCCATTTACACTTCAAAGGCAGCTCAGCCAGGAAAAAATGGACCTGGGGAAGTACTTAAGGAAGTCGGAGGATGCACTAGTTACTATAACAGGGCATGAGCAAAGGGGCCTCTGAGCCTGGGCCTTATGGTCACACTACACCAGGGCGACGAGGAGGAGGCACGCTTGAAGTTCACTGTGTCTCACAGTGGGTTTGATAGCCCAGTGCTCCCTTTCCTGGTGCCCAACACTTTGACTCAGCAGACAATCTGCAGCATTAGTTCTGAAGACATAGAAATGATGGTACTGTAAGCTCCGGCCCTGGAGGATGAAAGTATTGTTGGGAGTGGAAAGCACAGCCTACAGGGCTCCCTGACAGCGGGCTCCTCGAGTCCACTCCCGGGGGTTTTCCTGACTCTCTCCCCGGACCTGTTCATTCAATCACTCACTCACCTAGCCCTTCTTGCAGAGGCTCTGAGGGCAGCTCCATTAGCCCTGGTATGGACAGGATTGTGGGTCTGCAGTGTAATGCCGCTCTTGGCCATGGGATTGCTCCACGCTTATGTCAAAATGCACTGGCCTTTGTCAGAAGCTGAATCTTGTGGTTCTCTAAATTCCTATGTTGGAGTTCCAACCCCAGGTACCTCAAAATGTGATACACTTGAAAACATGACAGTTGAGATGCAGTCATGGAGTAGGCTATAGCTCTAATCTAACTGACCAGTGTCTTTATGGAATGGGGTAATTTGGGGACAGATGAACACAGGGACAACTTCATGGGAAGATAAGAGAGCTGCTGCCATGGGTGAAGGATGAGCAGAGACTGGAAAGGGGCTGGGGTGGAGCCTTCCTGGTACTTTTGGACCCTGGGCCTCAGACTCTGGCCTCCGGAACAGTGAGAAAATACATCTCCATCATTTCAGTCACCCACTTTGGGGTACTCTGCTAAAACACTAACATCTTTTTTATGACAGAATGCATAAAAGTCTAGAAATTTGGCAAGTTTGACCACTGCCAGTTGTTTCTGTGGGGTGGGGTAAGGAAAGAGGAAGATCTCAAGCAAGCCACAGCATGGTGGCACCCACCTTGGGCCCTCTCCTTGGCCCATTGGCATCAGACTACCTTTGGGGTAGGGCAGTGAGTGTTTCCATGACAGAGAAAAGGTACCTGTTCTCACCTGCTAGGACAGCTGCAGCAACCCTGGTTATATACTGGAAGGAAAGAATCCTGGTCAGCCCAACCTAACAGATAATCTTCTTCCCAAATATGTCAGGTGAGAATCATTCATTCTGTTGGTTACTCAACAAATGAATATCCATGTGTTTGAGCAGATATGTCACACAGAAGGAATATTGATAATTTCCAGTGTATTCACTTCTCTGAAGAGGAAGGATGTTCATCCCAGATGCCTTTCAGCTATGGCTCCTGTGACTCACGCAGGCTTCCCCAGCCTACAAGGGCGCTACCTGGGCATCTTAATGCCTCTGCAGCTGTTGCAAGGAAATGGCTTACACACATGTTTATTATATTAGAAAAGAGTAATAAGCCAGTACTTGGAAACAACTGGAATTAAAGGAGTCACTATCATTAAAGAAAAGTAAAGCTAGAATTTATCTGACTTTATTAAAATGAGAATACCAGATGTACTCTATGCCCATGACTTTAGTGTTGTGTGCTAAAACCTGTCTGTGCCTGTAAAAAGAGGCCATTGTCATGGCAACCCAATGGTCCACCTCTCAGACCTTGAACTGCTTCCTGCAGGTCAGCCTTTGAAGCTGTAAGTGCTCAATTCTCACTACAGATCCAGAAATGATTGCTGATTTTCGAAGATGTGGTAGGTAATAGGTACATCTGTCTACTGGAGAGCCAGCCAGCACCCAAAGAACCAGAGCTATCTAGTGACTTTAGCAACTCAGGCTCTGTGCTTTGAACATGCTTGAATTTCTCACACGGGGAGAGTGAGGTGGCCTGCTAGAGAAGAAAGAGAAAATGGCAGAGTTTGGGATTAAAATTTCAGCTAATTCAAATTCTAATCAGAGAAAATCTGCCATTTGGTTACCAGGTATTGTCTTAAGATTTGAAAAAGAAAAATCTCATCCATCATCTATTTTGAGAAAGATTCAACTTCTTTTCCAACATCTTAAGTTTTCAGACTTCTTAGAAACTCCCTTTCATCAACAACTCATTCCAAGTGCTTACTTTCTCCTTCTCCACCTTTCTTCTCTCCTCTACAGGAGTCTCACTGTGTAGTTCATTGCTTCTCCAGATGTAGCCTCTTTTGATTTTTGAAGCCTCATTTATCTCTATAATATATCATAAGATGTCATGGAACCTTAGAGTGTAGTTCAAAACTGTAAACATCATTTAAATGTGGCTCAAGGTGTCCTCTCCATGTTTCCAGCCATCTTTTCGAGGATTTCAGGGAACTACAGTTTTCATTGATGTGAGATTTTTATGTGGACAGTGATTGGGAGCTTTGATTACCCTTCAGCTCCCTCTCCAACCCCTCCCCTGCCCACTGGCTCCACTGTTCAGCCCCTGTGACTGTCATGCTCATCTCTCCTTTCCCCAGATAAAATGCTGAGCTGGGCCATGCAAGATAGATTTCTGTGCTGGGGATGGAGAGCACTAGATGCTACAAGGAGGAAGGGAAGCAAGAAGTCAGAATCGCTGCACTGGGTGGGGAATGGGGATCAGAGGGAGGAGCTGTCAGGTAGGAGGTTGTCAAAACTCCATCCAGAAGGTGGAGGATCAGAAGTCCTATAGGACCTGCAGCATTGGAGGAGCACTCGAATCTCCCTTGGCATGTATGTGCAGCTGGAGTCAACATTGAGAACCAGAGTTGTGCTGAAAACACCGAATCAGCCCGCTGCAGACAGATAGGTCTGCAGATGTGGTCCCGAGGTCGCCAGTCGCACTGAAAACACCGAATCCCGGCAGCAATCCACTGGACCACCCTCACCCCGCTCCTCTGGCCTCTTCTCTGTACAGCCACCTGGTTCCAGACTAAAAAGACACAGGGACACTGGACCATCAGACCACTGTGCTGGAGCTAATCAAGTCCTCAGCATTTAAAGAACTCCTGCCCAGAGGTAGGGGCTTCTGAGCTGCTGTCCCACTGCTCCTGGTCCAGAGGAAGGGGATGCCTGGCAACTATCCCTCCCGCTGCTCCCAGCCCAGAAGAAAGGGCTTTGGGGCTGCCATTCATCCTGCCGCTCCCAGCCCAGAGGTAGGGGCTTCTGAGCCAGCATCCCACTGCTCCTGGTCCAGAGGAAGGGGCTTCTGGGCCACCAAATGTTCCACCACTCCCAGCCCAGAGGAAGGGACTTTCAGGCCACCAGCCCTACCGCCACTCCCGGTCCCTGTCCCACCTCTCCCAGCTCAGAGGAGTGAGCAACGCAGATGCCAACAGTACCCCCCCGCCCCTCCCAGTCAAAATGAGAAAACATGTAAATAAGTCTCAAAACCAGACTTCCAGGTCACCTACAGCAACCCCAAAGGGAAATGAGATGGAACACTGTGATACTCAACCACCTGGACCCTCCTAGTGCAAGACATGATTAATAAATCTAGAGAGGA